CTGCTTCAAACTTAGAAAGATAAGGGTAAAATTCATGGTAACCACAAAGAATGTTAACAAACCTACTCATAAAAATAAAGAGGAAAAACATAAAGTTTCAGTAAAAACAAAATCTACAAAAAGAGAAGAAATGAAAAAAAAAATCCATGAACAAAAGGAATTCAGTACAAGAGAGTAAGAGGAAGAAAGAAAATGTCAGCACCATAAAAAAAAATAAACACTACAAAATGATGGCAAGAAATTCACACCTATCAATAATTACACTGAATGTAAATGGCCTAAATGCACCCATAAAGAAACGGAGAGTAACAGAATGGATTAAAAAAACAGGATCCATCAATATGCTAGAGACACACCTTAGAAACAAAGACGTAAATTTATTAAAAATCAAAGGTTGGAGTGTATGCTTCGGCAGCATATATACTAAAACTGGAATGATAAAGAGAAGATTAGCATGGATTTTGCGCAAGGATGACACACAAACTCGTGAAGCGTTCCATATTTTTTAAGAGAAAAGTTCCTCCAAGGTCGAGAAGGGAGAGTTTTAACATGTTGTGTGTTTGTTAACTAATGTCATAAAACAATACACGTACTGACTGTGTAATGAGAAACTATTTGTTCTGTAAACCTTCACCTAAAGTACAATAAAAAAATTTTTTTAAAAATCAAAAGTTGGAAAAAAATATATCAAGCAAACAACTACCAAAAAAGAGAAGGAGTGGCAATACTAATCTCAGATAAAACAGACTATAAAACAAAATCCACAATAAAAGACAAAGAAGGACACTATATAATGATTAAGAAGATGATCCATCATGAAGACATAATCATAATAAACATTATGCACCCAATGACAGGGCTCCAAAATACATAAAAGAAACTCTAACAGCTCTGAAAAGAGAAATTGACAGTTCCACAATAATAGTAGGAGATGTCAACATGCCACTCTCTGTAAAGGATGAACATCTAGAAAGAAATTAAGCAAAGATACAGAAGACCTAAAGGACACAATCAGCCAACTTGACCTCAAAGACATATATAGGACACTCCACCCTACAGCTGCAAAGTACACGTTCTTTTCCAATGCACATGGAACGTTCTCCAGAATAGACCACATCTTAGGCCACAGAGCAATCTTCAACAAAATCCAAAACGTTGAGATAATACAAAGTATCTTCTCTAAACGCAATGCCATCAAGGTAGAAATTAACAACAGAAAGAGCAAGGAAAAAAAAATCAATTACATGGAAACTGAATAACACCCTGCTTACAAACTACTGGGTAATAGAAGAAATCAGAAATGGAATTAAAAAAATCCTAGAATCAAACGAAAATGAAAACACATCATACCAAAACCTTTCGGACACAGTAAATGCAGTCCTCAAAGGACAATTTATAGCAATAGATGCACACATCAAAATAGAAGAAAGGGAAAAATCAAAACATTAACTACA